CCGTGCTAAAGAAGAACGTCGTATGAACATTCGAGAGTTGCCAAATTTTGTTGGATAAAATTTTTAATTTCGAGGAAAATGATGAATATTTTTTCTTGAAATTTTCAGACACTTTAGATCAAATCACGAACAAAATTATCTGAGAAATTGGCGGAAAAATATTCAACAATTTTCCTGAAAATAAGTGATTTGCCAGAGGAAATTTGGCAACGCCTGGAGGCTCATGCGGTGTTTTTCCTTGACGCGGCAGTGCGGCCCTCACTTGAAGGCCCTCGGAAACATGTCGCGGTGCGAGCTGCGTTTTTCCCTTTTTATGAAATGCGTTCGTTGCACATGCAAGATGCAGCTAACCGAGTTGACTTTGGATGGGAATATTCGCACGGAAATTAAGACGTATACATCGGAAAATATCTAAATTACATTTCGAACCACGCTGTTGAGGAGAATGAGAGATGTTGTTTTTATTACTGCAACACTGAAAAAAATGGTATGCTGTTTCAGCACCTAGGATGTCAAAAATGTGTCTGGTGATCCTAAGATACTGCCTTGATTTCCCGCGCAGTTGAATTTGCATTCATAAGGTTAACTGCGGGGGCAGTAAAGGCAGCATCTAGGGATCACCAGACACATTATTGACTTCCTAGATGCTAACACAGCATATTACTTTTTTTCAGTGAACTTTCAGCCTCCTTTCTTTGGTCAGAAAAACTGTTTTGAGCTTTTTTCGGTCACGGACATGCGTTTCTCGCTGAATTCTCGCTTTCTTGGATATTCCTAGGTCATGCAACCGCCACATTCAGAGAGCGATCTTGCTGACCGACGCACGGTGGATCGAGTCAATCAGAAACTTCGGACATGAAATTTTTGGCTAGAACTGCAAATTTTGTTGTGTATTTTGTCACATTTTAAATTTTAAGAGGTGCTTCTAGAGGACAATTTCGCGAGGAAACCAATTGAACCATTTTTACAACCTCAAAATTTGATATAAACGGAGTTATAAGCGTTTAAAGTTTTCAAATTTTGTCCGACCACTCCTATCGACTCGATCCACAGTGCGACGTGGAGGCATATCACGTGTGAGCTCCAGCTGCGTTTCAAATGGCATCCTCGGTTGGAGAACGATAAAGAGTACTCCAGAATGCGGTTGAACCAACTCATTGTCAGCTGGTTGGTTGCAGAAAGTATGCAACCATATTGCGTAAAAAGAAAAAACTTATTGTTATAGTATCTCGGTGGATAAGTTCGAAGGAATGTGCCTTTTCGAATAGCGAAGCCAGACTCAAGAGGTTTCAGGGCTCAATTTTTATTCTTGAAAGACGCGGAACCATCGCATAACGAGGGTACAAAAAAGTACGCACTCGCATGAGGAATTGTGGGCAAGTTGTTAAGACACCTCTATTGAATGAACAAATTCTGCTACTTTTACTTAATTTTTCCGTCTTCGGTTCGCTCCTTTTTCCTATTCATTTTTTTCCTCTCCTTCTCCCTCTTCTCTTCCCTCCTTCTACTTTCCTCCTCATTTTTATTTTTTTCCCTCCTCTTCTTAATTCTCACTACCTCCTTCTTGCACCTTATTACCTTCTTTTTCTTCTTTCTCCTCCTCACCTTCTTCCTATTCGTCTTTTTCCTCTCCTTCTCTCTCTTCTCTTCCCTCCTTCTATTTTCCTCGTCTTTTTCATTTTCCGCCCTCCTCTTCATAGTTCCCACTACCTCCTTCTTGCACCTTATTACCTTCTTTTATTCTCCCTCCTCCTCACCTTCTTCCTATTCGTCTTTTTCCTCTCCTTTTCTCTCTCTTTTCTGCCCTCCTTCTATTTTCCTCCTCATTTTTATTTTCCTCCCTCCTCTTCTTAATTCTCACTACCTCCTTCTTGCACCTTATTACCTTCTTTTTCTTCTTCCTCCTCCTCACCTTCTTCCTATTCGTCCTTTTCCTCTGCTTCTCTCCCTTCTCTTCCCGCCCTCTATTTTCCTCTTCTTTTTTATTTTCCTCCCTTTTCTTCTTATTTTTTACTACTCCTACTTTTACCTTATTGTATTCTTCTTCTTCTTCCTCCCCCTCCTCTAGTTCTTCTGCTTCTTCCTCTCCTGATTCCTCTGTTTCTTCCTTTTCTAATTCTTCTACGTCTTCTTCATACCTTTTTCTCTCTATGCACTCGTCGTAGGGTTAGAAAGGCAGGGTCACAAACACATATCATTTTAGGAAAAATCAGGGGAGGCTTATCGGATTACATACACTTTACGCAAGTTGACCCCTTTCCCTACTTTCCAAGCATTCGATGAACATCAATGAAAATGTGAAAGGCATCATCATGAAAATGTATTACATCTTCGAGCTAAGAGGCGGAGGTCTGTGTTATCATTACACTTATTTTTAATTGCCATTAAAAGGACTCCGATGGAAGATTTTCATTCCAGTGGAAAGGGAGAGGCTGTGAAAAATTTGGCGCCCTTAAAATTTATGTTCAGCGAGTGGGCATACTTTGTGTGCCCTTCTTGACTCGGCGGGCCTGACTGTAGACGGTGACATTAATCCTGTCGTGCTAAGGAAAAACGCCGTATGCACATTCGAGAGTTGCCAAATTTCCTCTGTTGCAATGTTTATTTTTGAGAAAAGTTATGAATATTTTTCCATAACATTCTCAGATAATTTGCATTAAAGTGCTAAAGAAATTATCTGAAAATTTGGACGAAAAATATCCATCAGTTCATCTGGAAATTTGTGTTATATCCAAGGAAATTTGGCCACGCTTGAAGGTTCATACGGCGTTCTTCTTTAGTACAGCAGAATAGGAACCCTAACATTTGGACTAAATTTTTCAATTTGGACCTATTAACTCCGGTCCGGTTTAAAAACAACGTATGTGGCATTAGTTTCCCAACGCACATAAGTGTTTTTTCAGATGAGGCAGAATTTATAGTTCCAAATTGCGCAAAATGCAGTCCATGTCATGTATAGAAATGATGGACCCTGCACTTTAACATTTTCACCGGGTGCTGAACACTTTAATCAAACCGAATTCAACGACGGAGCAAGTTGAATGATTCGACAGTTTGACCGGTGACCGGTGACCAGCTGCCCGGTCATTGGCCACGGCCGAAGTCGGTCCTCTCATTTTCCGCCGGAGATGCCCATTGTCTAGCTGCGACAGAATCAGCGCAGAGTCCGAATTAGCACAGCGGTCAGCGGTATCGGAACAGAACAGACGACACTAATTAGCGCGCTAATTATTTCGATTTAATTACGGGCGACGCGAAGGGTATGGGACGAATGGACCGCCGCGCCGCGCCGGCGAGAGTCAGCGCAGCCGGTCGACTTTTGGTCAGTGTGTTTGTGGGTCGTGCGAAAAGCGAATCAGCCTTAATCATTGGCACAGCCTCCAACGAAAAAGAACCACGAGGACATGGTGGCAGATTTCCTAAAATTTAAACATTTTCTCGCGTTTCTCTGAGAACCGTCCCCAAATAACGTAACGCTCTACTGCTAAGGAAGAACGTCATATGAACATTCGAGAGTTGCCAAAGTTCCTTCAATAAAATGTTTATTTTTGAGGAAAGTTATGAATATTTTTCTTTGAAATTTCCAGGAACGTTAGGTAAACTTGCGAGCAAAATTATCTGAAAAATTGGAAGGAAAATATTCATAAGTTTACCAGGAAATTCGTATTTTATCAAAGGAAATTTGGCGACGCCTAGAAGTTCATACGGCGTTTTTCCTTAGCACGGCAGTCTAGAGGGGGGGGATATCGAGAAGAGCGTTATGCCATTTTTTTTAATGTGTTAAAGATAAAGAACCTTCATCACAAAAGCGTTACTAGAAGAGGGGGGGGGGTGTCAAAAATGCCGGAAAAGTGCATTACGTAGTTTAGGGATAGCAATTAATTTTGAGACGATTTTAGGGATGAGAATGAACATCTCGCTAGATAAAACAAGCTTGAAATTCGAGCATTGCCGATAGAGAGCGACTGACACCGTGTAAATCAAAGTTTTGACAGAAAAAGAAAATTTCAAGTTTTATAGTAAAAGAAGAGGTGCTCATTTCCGCGAGGCCGTCTTCAGCCCACCTTAATTTGCGGTTACTCTTTTGCAGGTAACTGAATGCCGAGCTGAAACTTAAATATTAGGTTTGGCCTTCCCAGTGGATTTTGTTATAAAATTGGCCCTATAAAGTTTTACCATACGTTTAATAGTTCATAAAAAATATTGATTTCGTTACTCAATGAAACCTCCTTAGGTTTAAAATATCAGTAAAAATATAATTATTTTTAATTTACTTCTCTTCATACTTTGAGGAATGAAGTCTTGCACAATGAAATTTTATCGTATTAAACCAAAATCAACATAGCCATCTTAAAGTTTCAGTACATCCTCCCTAAACTACAGAGGGCGTGTAAATAACATTACCGTTTATGGCTCTGAATACCACCTCAAAATTATTCATTTTTTCCCCTTTCAACTGCCCTATTATGTATTCCGTTTACTCAATCGTACCAGTGACTTTTTGAATTACAAATATCACTCTGCACTACCTACAGAAAGGGCGAAAATACACTCGCATGAAAACTTCATAACAGTAAAAAAGTTTGGATAAAACAAAGCCTTTTCCATAATTTTTAATATACAGGGGTCAATAGAGAGGTGAAAAGGCAGGCTATTTTTAGTGTGTTCCTTGCCGGGCACACAAGGGAGAGGCAAAACTACTGCCTGCATAACCGCGCACCTAACCGCGCGTGTTCGTGCTCCTAAGCCGCTTAAAAGCACCTATCTGCATAGGAATACTATTGGAATGTGTGCTGTTCCTAAAATAACGCAGTTAGCATAGTAGTTCCTCGTTGCAAAATGTATAATCCACCTGTGAATCAACTGCGCAAGTATTTAATAGGCGCGATCTTGGTGGAATTTTTGTACAAAAACACGACTTGTGAAAATGTAATTCACAAACCAGTCGTTTTCTTTAAGATGTAATTGATGAAATAAAATATGAAGAAAACGGGACTTACATTATTTACAAGGACGCCACAGTACTCTTGGGAGCCGGGCTGAGCAAATAAATTGATGCTGAGTGCTGTTGTGTGAGTTCCGTTTCCGTACCCGATGCAGTTCGGAGTTCGGAAGTCCCGCGCGTGCACAGCACCTAGAAAAACACAGGACAGAGTTAACATATTTTTGGATAGAATAGAACCACAACGAAAAATTCAACACTGTTTACTGGGCAAAAAAATCAACCTTTCGTAACAACAAACATACACCTGACTGCACTTAAATGCACTTTTGATAACAGCTTTTTTTTGGATGGAACTAACCCATTCGGACATTTTCTACCATCCTAAGGAAGAACACCGAATGAACAACCGAATGTTGCCTTTCCTCTGACAAAATATTTTTCTTCAGTATATTTGTCAATAGGATGACTGAAGAGAGGCTGCCAAAAAAGATGCTTTATTGGGTTCCTCCTGGGAGGAGACGTAGGGGACGCTCAGTGAGAGGTTGGGGACAGGGGGTGTTAAGTGAGATGAGGGAGTGTCAACTCCCAGATGACCTGTGGGAAGACCGAGCTTTGTGGCGATTAGGCGTCGTAAAGCGCCAAAGAGCGCTATAAAAGCGACTCATATGTATGTATATATGTTAGTTAGTTAGTTAATTTTATTTAACGACGATCAGCATCTAGGCTATTTACGTCGGGGACTAGGCAATTTTAAATTTTTAAATTTAGTTTGTGTGTATGTATGTATGTATATTTGTTAGTATTCGTATCGGCTAGAAAAAACTAAAACAACAAAGGAAATCAGACGTCATTATGTAATTAGGCTGATTTTGGTCTGGACATTGAGCCCTTTTAAAAGGCACCCATTCTTAAAGCAGATTTTAATAGTCCTTTATACCTCTCAAAGTAGATCAGTCCTTTCTGCTTGATCCGTACATTGTACGTATCTTTCAAAAGCTTACAACATAAAATGACACGCAATCAAACTTCCGCCAAATCAGGTGACGTGAGTTGCTTCGAAAAAACAAAAGTTTGTCACTCTACTCAAACAAACCTTGAAAATGACCGTGCACGAGACATGCGGTCAAAATTTTCAAAAAAAAAAAAAAATACCAAGTTATTCTTTTCAGAGGTAGTTAGCTACGGGCTCCATTTAAGTCAATGGTGCTCTTCGTAGAGCTGGGTTGTTGCATGCCAATGAGTCACAATTTGCGCACGAAAAATTTCATGTTTGAACGAGAGTTTGGCGAAGAAATGTAAACCGAAACGCTGAGTTCTGGGCTCATTTGCATGAGGTGGGATCGGCATGTTTGTAGAGTCATCGTCGTGTCGCATTATGTTGGCAGTGGTTTTAAATCCTCGTCATGCGTTTCGGATATTCCTCACTACGGAAGAAAACAGCATGGACGGAAAATAGGCTTTTAACTAATTTATGGAAACAAAAGAGACATTCTACGACGTCTTAGGTGCAAGTACAACCTTTACTTCCTTTCATCGTTGTTAATTTTCAAAATGCTGCATTATTATACACGTGTGGTGAAAATTTGTGGAATTCATAGCAAATACATATGAGTGGACTTCATGACGAAAACCTGCTGCAAGGAAAAAAAAGTGATAGGGGTTATCTTCTAAAAATGTGGTGCTACCCCAATTTGTGGGATGATATGAAAATTTCCAATTAATTTTGGTAGTATACCGCAACTCAAATTGGGGTATTACCGCAAAATTTGCGTAGTAACCTAATTCATTGGGGTACTACCACAATTGAGGGGCTTGGAGGACAAGGCGCATAAGTGCAGTTTTTGCTACTTCGCGAAATAGGTGTTTGAAGTTTCGAAATTACATGGTTCCTTATGGCGGAAAGAAAGTTCAAACTGACTTTTTGATGTGTAGAAATTGGAATTTGGGAGCGAATTTTTCACAAAATATGCATTAAGACTAGTTTTACTTGAATTCATTAAAATGTCAATTTTTTCGAGGACTGCACTTTTGCGCCTTGTCCTCCAAACCCCTCAATTGATTGGAAATTTCCAAATTAGGAATTGACGTCTACCTCTTTTTTCCGTGTATAGGCGGATACATCTCTTCAACCCGTTATGGGATGTCCATAAATTACGTTTAACAGTATAGGGAGTGGATGGGTCTTCATAATTGGACATATAAAAACTATGAAAACCAAACCCAAAGAAAACTATGTGCATTAAGACATGAACCCTAGGACCCATAAGAATATATGCATAACAGGGCTCACGTCATAATACACATAATTACGTTTGGCAGAAATACGTCCAATTTTACGACCGAGCGTGAAAAGGGGTGAGGGGGTGTCAAGCCTATCGTGACGTAACAGAGTGTTCGACTTTTTTTCTTTTATCTTTAAATTTGCTTCTTGCTATGCAGACAACTTACTGAAATTTGTACAAAAATCTGGGCAATCGTTCTCACGTAAAAAGTTGAATTCCCCAGCGATTAAATATGGCAATAGGTGATGTGGCTTGGTTCCTTTCTCCTTAACGCGGTCCGTTTTGACACAATTTCGGGGCAAACTGTGGGGGGAAAATGACCCGTCAGTTTATTCCATGAGGATGAATATGACAGTAAACGAATAAAATTCTGAGTACTCGAACAATTTTGCCCCACTCGCCTATACATTTCTCGCATAATTACAAAGAAATCTCCGAAATATTTTAGGTCCCTATATTTGACGTGGGTCGTGGCCAAGAATTCTGAAGCCAATGGACTGATTTAGCGGCCTCATCATTCGATGTATCGCGGAAATTAAATTAAGCCGCGCTTTTTAAGGGCCGAAAAACGATTTATATCGAAACAGTCCATTTGTTCTGAGTGGAACCATAGAATGTATCGAATATCGACTGACGTAGTCATTAAATCAGTCCACAAAGACGGTAAAATAGATGAGTCGTAACTGGGTCCCGGGATAACACAGAGCTGTTAAAACTGAGACATAAAGAAGAGCTCAATCGATAAGATCAATTCGTTCTGTCCCAAGAGCGCGGGAGGCATTGAAAAGGTGTTGTCGCGTCGTTAGAATAAATCAAAGTATCAATGAGGAAATTTTGTCGATTCGTCAAAATTGGAATATTTTCAAGTACGAGACTGAAAAGAAAAGAAGCGTTCATGTAACCTCATGTAACCTCAAGCTTCTGGTCGTTGGCCCAACAATAGGAAAAATAATTAAAATAATATTTGACAATTATACTTTGAGCACCTGAGGGCTGATTATTAAGATTCATAGAAACAACCGCAGCTTAAATTTAAACCCTCTCTAATTGATTAATGCCGCCACCGACTACAAACTTTCCTCAATTATTTCCATGTTTTCTTTCTGTTCCTTTTAAGAATTGATTGTGACAAATCGCGACATTGAGAGCCGCTAGTACGAAACAGTTATTCGTGCATGAGACATAAATGGAATAAGCTGTATAGATGTGTATCCATAGTTGGAAATTAGTCACTATGTTTCCTAAAAGAAGAGTACAAAAACAGGAGGGAGAATGTGAAGTGACAGACTAACAGTGGTGAATTAGAATGGATTCCTTTTCGTAAAAGGGGATAAACGCATGGCCCTTAGTTACATATGAAGCAAATATGACCAGAGGTGATGAAATCTGTCCCCCCAGACGGATCGAGACACCTCGAACGGGGAGAGGAGGGGGCGTAAGGGGGCCTCCCCCAGAGATGTTTAATTTTTGAAGCATCTCATACGCAGTTTGAGTCAATTTCGTCACGAATAATAAGCGTCTTTCCTTCGTCTTTCCTTCGTTCCTTCCTTTTTTCTTTCTTCCCTCTCTCCGTCTCCTTTTTTCCGGGCAAACAGGGGGGCGCACCTGCCCCCCTCTGGATCCGCCTATGATCTGCCCTGAATACAAGCCGAATTCATGCGTCCAATAAAAAGTCCCTCGAAGAAAGAGTTCGTAAGTGGTCACGATCCGTTTGCAAATTCCAGCAATTTTTCCCCGCTCTGGCAACGCCGCGCGGCCCCTCCAACAATGGCAATTTATCCGCGGAGTCCCCCCATTGGACGTATTTCTGCCGAACGGAACTATATGCAGTAAGACATGAGCCCTGAGACCTATAGGAATATATATCTAACAGGGCTCACGTCATAATGCACGTTTGGCAGAAATACGTTCATTCGTCGATAGGAGCTATGCGGGGATTTCGCGGTGAAAACGTGCGTTTAAAAAGTGCCGGCGCGGATATTTGCGATACCGGAGGCGATGGGTCTTCAATCTTGGTCGAGTGGCCTTTCGACTCCTCGGACCCCGCGGCCCGGCTGACGGCCATCGGCAAAGGCAAACACTGCAGTTCGCGCTAAGTGATCACGACCGCCGTCCCACGCTCGGCGAAAACAACGCACGTGCATCGGAGTTCCATTGGAGTTACGTGGTTTTGTCTTGGAGGGCAGCGAACCACCCGAGGGCGGTTCGGGCTAATTTATCGGCTCCTGTCGACAGGGATTGCTTCATTGAAAATTCCTCTGATGGGACTCATTTTTTATGAAACACCCTCCGAGCTTTTCTCCGCTCACATGACACCGGTCTCCCCGGGCGTGACGCACGCGGGGAAAAAAATAAATAAATAAATGACTGAAGGAAGACGTAATAAATAAATAAGGAAATGAGTTCGTACTGTCAATAGTTCATCAGCCTTAAGATAGGGGCTGATCTGCTCAGGTTGACGAAAGTCAATCCGCTCATTTATTAATGCCCAAGGCAACGATATATCCTCTCAAGTTGGTTGTGGGTGCCACGGAGAAAACCCGGAAATCAATACGCTGAGAGAAATAAACCGCTGGGGCACGCTGAGAAAAACAGTTCGGTTACATGACGCGGAGTGATGCAGTGATAGATCTTTTGCAAACTTTTGTTAGAGCAAAGATAAGAGTCGTTTCCGTATGGAAATGTCTCGAAAATCACCAGGGTGTCTACTAAACCAGGCTGGTCAAAAATAAGTACTTTTACAGGACTTTTTCAGTACGTTCTCGAGAAATTCAGTACCTCCTCTAACAGAAAAATTCCGTACTTTTTCAGTCCCTCATTTGACAATATTAGAAAAATTTCAAAACTTTGAATTTCCCGCTTAAATCGCGACAAAAAATTAAAAAAAAAATTCCGGACCTTTTTGCG